TAGGAAGAGAGTACAACCGAACAGTTGGTTCAGAGTTGAACAACTGACTCCATATATTGTACAGTGACTCACTCTTAAAATGTTTATATATATATATATATATAGAGAGAGAGAGAGAGACAGAGAGAGAGAAATGTATGACAAAGTTGAAAAAATTTTCTTACAGTGTGTTTCTTCCTTTAGGACTTCAGCAGACTAAATTTGTTATGTTGGTATGACTACATATGTGCATGAACGAGGGATGCTGGGAGTTTTATATGAAATTTTTTTTTATCAAGTCAATTTAATTTAGTTTCTTTTTCTTTCCATCACTATTGTTAATAGATATCCCACAATGAATTTCTGCCAGGAATGGTGAAATGTTGTAAGAGCCAGGGTGCAAATTTACTGTAGATGTCCATGTGACCAAGGCACTCTCCAGACATTTTCATCATAGTGAATTGTTTTCTCCTTTGATCAGAGTACCATTTTATATATATCTTGTAATCAGTCTCATTACAGTGGGTAATCAACACATTTGATGTATTGTTTTGTAAAATGTCTCTTTCGTGTTCATACAATCTTTTATTTAGATTCCGTGTGGTTTCTCCTATGTATTTTCTGTGACAATAATTACAGGTGATCAAATAAATTCCTTCTTTAAGTTTTAGCTTATTGTTTTCTTAGTATCGACTAAGACTTTTGCTTTAGATGTAATAGTGACAAATTTTATGTTGAGTTTAGATAGATTCTTTCTAATTGTAGATGTGATAGAGTTAGTAGGATAATATATTTTTTTGATTCATTAGGTTTGTCAGGAGGGGCCATTTTTCTATTTTGGAATATTTTATGAGCATTTTGTTTCACATTGAATATAAAATAATTAGGGTACTAAAGAAGCTTGAAAGTCTTTCAATGTATTTCTGCCATAGTTTAAATTACTTGAAATCGAAAAGATCCCTCAACTGTGAGTACTGTTCCAACATTAAACCACTTTTATTTCAATACAACCTAGACAGGTTTACAGCCTACAGCAGGCACAAAAGTGTCACTTGGGACAAACTACCCCATCCACCCAACTATAGCTACACTACTGCTGTAACCCCCTGCGTTCTAGTAGCACTATCACCCGGCTTGAAGTGAAATGATAGCTGTGATACAGCTAAACACTCTGTCTGTGGATGACAATATATAAACTCCTGAAAAATTATTTTGGTTGAGCTCTCAGGGGAGAAAGTATGAGTTTGTAAACAGTGACTACTACTGCTACTAATGTAATACTCTTCTATAAAATGAATTGAGTTCTCTCAGTCACTGGCATGTTTATCTAAAAACTAAATACGCTTAAATTCACTTTCGTCCCTGCTGTGTGCCAATGGCTTAGGGATAAATTCTCTGACTAACGCCAATTCAGCCGGGTTTCAATCAGTCCAACCGGACGTCTAAGTACACTGATGAGCTGTGATACAGTGAAACAGTCTGTCAATGAATGATAATATATATATAAAATCTTTCTTTATGTTGAAGTCATTTATTTTGAATATTGTTGAAGGGCTCAGAGTTAATCTAAATGAGCCTCCACCTAAAGTTTATGTCACACAGTTATTTCCATTTTATGCTGTTTACTAAAAGCTGAAGAATAATAGCTGTAGGCAGTCTGGGTTGTTGCAATAAGAAACAACTGAAATTAAGATGCAAGCAACAGTCATTAAAGATTAATAATTGTTCACCATGCTCCATCTCATAACAGAAATTCAAAATAAAAATGGACAGAATTTATACTCTTGTACATAATCAATACAAGCTTGCATCTATCTGATTTCTTTGCTCCTAATTCAATTTAAATAGAATCCCTTTATCAATCATTTTTTCTAATCATTATTAAATGATTTGAAATGGTTTCAATGGAGACACTGAGTTCTCAGATTGGGAATTTCGGATCAGTTTTCACCAAAGCCTTCACATCTTCATCAGTGATTGATAGTTTGGGTCAACCTCTCAATTGAGTTTCTTAAATTGAAATATTACTGTGTGTTCGCAGACTTTATGTAGATTCCTAATATCTTCATAGCTCAATTTGAATTCAGACAAAAATAAAATATGACGGTTAAATAATTCTTTCTATATTTTCCTAAAAGCAAATGCAATAAAAAACTTACATAGTGAGAAATAGTCAAGTACCTGTATATACTTGCATATCATATGACTTCTGAAAACCCAATTTTGAAGCTAATTTTAAGGAGGTCATATCCTACATGAGATGTAAAATTAGAATATCTACTGCTGGCCCTGGCTATGCCATTGACCAAACTATATATCCATTTACTGTAGCCAAAAAGTACAGCTGTATTTAAAATAAACAGGATTTTGATAAAATTGATGTTTCACTTAACTGTATTTGATAATAATACATGCAATATTCATATATTAATATCATAAAATGCAAACATAGCGAATATATTTGATGAGATGAATATGCTTATATTCACTGAAATAAATTTATTACTGACTATGGATTTTTAAGGTATTTTCCTAATTACTCTTACACACACACACACAGACATACACACATATATATATGTATAAAACCAAACAGGTAAATATAGGTAGATGCACTGAAAAATACCAGCACTTGATCATTGCTTTGGCACGAAACTCTGAGTTTTGCAATCAATGTAAGGTATTATGTATATTATATATATTTATATAATATATATATATATATATATATATATATATATATATACACAGAATTTTCATGTTGGTCTTACCAAATTCCTAATTGCAAACATTACCTTTCAGCAGGAATGATTAAGCATGGTACATTTCTGTATATATATTTTTTAAAATCTTATAAAATAAATGAATATCTGGGCTCTAGGAATCATGAAATGTATGACTTGAATGATAAGAATGTATGCCTCTGATATATTTGTGAATATATCATCATTCAAGAAATAATTATACAATTTACTTCTTAAAACACTTAATTTTCTTTCGTCACTTACACACTCTTATGATGACTTATGTGAGTTAAAACCTTGGGACAACACAACATGAATTTTGTCCAATTTATCTACAAACAACAACCACATTGGTGAAAGGATATTCACATATTTGAAAAAAAAAAAGATCAACAAATTTAATATCCACAAAATGTCTATTTTTTTTATATACTTTTATATATTTTTTTTACTTTTGACATCTTTATTTTTGTTTTTCCATGTATAATATTTTTAATTATGGCATATATTCATGTAACATGCAACCCCACCCAATTTTCACTTATAAAAAAATGATTTTATATCTCTCATATATCATGCATGATCCTTTTTGAGAGATGAAATTACAATAGACTATCCTCTATCTCTTTATTCCATCTTTTAGTTTAATAAGCTAAAAAAGTAAAAGAGAATAATAAAAGTATTGTTAGTAACACTATATTCATTGCATAAATATATACAGTTATAAATAACTGAATGAAAAACAGCTAAACATCTTATAAACTTTAACAGTGGAAATATATAATTTTTTTTCGTTTCTGGACATAAATTATGTAGAAATGGTCCAAATGTTCTGTTTGTCAGTGTGCTTTCGGCTATTCTTTTAGCCATTATCAAGGCTGATTTTATTCTTACTTTTAACTGAATGTATCTATCTAGAGTTATAGGAATGTTTTTTATTTTCCAAATATAGTCAGGACATTGTGGACATGTTCATAGTTGATGTTAATAGTAATAGAAGCATTATTAATAAAAAAGAAAAAGCCAACACTCAATAACATCAATTATGAACATGGCCACAATACATAAAAAAATCCATACATTCAGTTAAAATTAAAAATAAGATCACACTCGATAATGGCTAAAAGAATAGTCAAAAATGCTTGGACATACAAAACATTTGGACAATTTCTACATAAAAAAGTTTTACAAAACATTTGTACACTTATATATATTTTTAATTTATTTGTTTAAACATTACTTTTGAAATGGATACTCATATTTCAGTAGATGTTCTGTTTTTATTTATTTATTAAACATAATATTTATTTACTTAAATAAAAATATGGATCATTAGGTAAGAATCAAACTTGTGTCCCGTAGGGGAAACTGTCATTAGATCTGATGTAGGTCATATGTGACCAAGTTGGTTGAAGGCATGTCAGATCTAATAATGGTTTCCCATAGGGGACTAAGATTCAAATCCTGCCAGAGGACTCATATTTTTCTAACAAGATTTCTTGAATATTTAGGCTGGTAGATGTAAATAAATAAATACATTTTTTAATAAATAATTAAAAACAGAGCATTTCCTCAAATATGAGTATCCATTTCAAAAATAACGTTTAAACAAATAAATTAAAAAAATCTTTTGGATTTAATCCATTTCCTAACATATATATATTTTAGGATATTACAACAAAAACATGTAAGAATCGCTACACAATTGCAGTTGTGTTTCAACACATAACGATGTGTCTCCTCAGGTGATTGTAAATTACTTGTGAGTGAATGATTAATTTGATTTCAAAAGTAAAATACATCCTCATTCTTTGAAAAAAAAAAAAAATATAAGGCTTGAGGGCTTTATCTTGATCAACCAATCTAATATGATATTGAGTACTTTTACCCATAAACATAGTATATACCGAGATGATAATTTTATCATATATATATATATATATATATATATATATATTGAGGGTATCATTAACTATGATCATGACAGTGAAAAACTGATAACCTATCAGTAAAATTATCTGTATTACTAATTATTTTAAATAAATCACTTTTATTATGATAACAGTCACAAAAGGAACAATGCTTCTTGAAAGGTTGTGGATGGAAAAATTTGTTTTTACCCTCTTGACAATGAGAGCTTGAAAGTAACAAGAGGAAAACGTTGAAATGACATTCAACATCCCCACTGATCAAAGAGTGCATTATGTACCTCGGCAGTAATCACCATTTTAGTTTTTTTTGTTTTTTTTTGATTTTCTGGTATTGGTTCTTTCATTTCTACAGGAACAGCAAAGTAGTAGTGGGAGATGATGAGAAGAATAAAGGGAAAAGTGGGAGTAGGAGGAGAAGTATATTAAAAAAAAAGCAAAGTGTGTGAGAAAAAGAAAGAGAAGGAGGAATCACTTGTTTTTTTTCTTTCTTTAATAAGAAAAAAGTGATAAGAGATGTATTTAATGGAGATTTGTGATAGGGTAGATGAAGGCAACCTGTGGAGTATAATATTTGTTGAAAATGATTGATAGATATTTGGGGGTGTCTGGCAACTGACAAGAGGAGGAAAATCTCATGATGTTTATTGTGAATGCCTTGTCACCAGGATGAAAGCCAGTCTTACATTTAATGTATATATATATATATATATATATATATATATATATATATATATATATATATATATATATATACACACACACACATTTGATTAAATATAATCAACAAGGTTGGTTTATTTCATTTTTTTATTGTATTTTTACAATTTTCAAATAAATTATTATATATTGGGATTGAAACTGCGGTTAAAACTCTTTGAAGTTCATGTTTTCTCCTATTCTTTTGTTCAAGTACTTGAATCTATCTCAGTTGTTTTCAAGAACCATGTGGTGTCTATATTTTAATTTTGTTGGCTACATCCTGGTATTTATTAGAAAGCTGAAAGTTTAAAATAGTCTATGGTAATGTCAAGTGTAAGAGGAGTTAGACTGTGTCAAAAAGAATGAGTTGTTTTTTTCTTATTATATACATATTAAATATTTCAATATACCATTTCCTGTGGTGAAAGATATTTTATTCAATGAAGGGTTGCCTATTTTGTATAATAATAATTTCTTGAAAATGACTGAGATGATCTAAAGTACTTGAACAAAACAATCATGACAATTTATTTACAATTTTGGCAAATTATTTGTAAGAAATTAACAGTCAAACCATTGTTGGTTGGATTTAATCAAATCTGTGTGGATGAATTCTTGCTGCCTAAATATACCTTATATATATATATATAAATAGAGAGAGAGAGAAACACACACAGTGTGCGATGGGTAAATTGTCGCCATTTTATATTTTTAATTTTGCATATTTTGTTTTTGATTTTCTCAACTGCACAGTATAGTACGGTGAGTTGGACATCGTCTGTGAGAAAAACAGCACCATGAAACAATTCACTGCCAGAAATTTGGAAATGACATGCTGTGCTGCTTGGCATTTACATCAAAATCATACAAACATTTCAGGGTGTTTGGATGTCAATCCAAGGACAGTGCAGAGGATTTGGAAAGAGTTGGATGAGTCTAATGGTGATTACAAAGGTATGGCAGCTCAGAAAACTCACTCTGATCATTCTAATAAGAAACGAATTCCTGAATTTGTTGGTGAGTGCCTCAAACACAACATGGAGGCCTACATCAAAGTGCCTTGAGAAGGTAATGCTGACTTAGGTCAAGAGGGTGTCTGCTGGAAGACCCTATGTCTGGCAACAGGATTCTGCACCATGCCACACAAGCAGGAGAACCCATTCATAGCTGTTAGACAATTTCTGCAACTACATCACTCCTTATATCTGGCCACTTAACTACCCAGACTGCAACACCCTTGATTATTATGTGTGGAGCTCAGATGAACAAAAGACCAACAAAACTCCTTGTAGTACCAAAGATGAACTGAAAGTAAAGATTATGGCAGAATTCACCAAATTAATCAAGGAGTCCATCCAGAAGAATTGCAGAAGATTCCATCTGGAGGCAGTGGTTGAAACCAATGGTGATTTTATTGAATAAATTTACTCTTTAGTATTTAAAGATATTTTTTGTGTAATTTTGGTAAATATATCTGTTAAAATAAGATGTCAGTGTTATTTTCATTTTTGCATAATTAGGATGACATCACACCCCATATAATCAATAAATGTTCAATGGACTTATCTCACTGACCAACTCAGTGAGATAAGGTGAGTTTTGCACCAAATCACTTGTTAGGGTAAATTGTTCCAAAAAATCTGTTGAAATTATTACTAGATCTTGTACTTACACTCCTCAGAACAAGCACTCATTATAAATTTCAAATTTTTAGCACATTAAAAATTCAACAACATTTAAATTTAGGCCCAGTTAAAATGTTCTTTCTTTTTATTTATTTACTTTTTTATATCAATCTGTGTGTGCATGTGTATATATATATATATATATATATATATATATATATATATATATATATATATATATATATATATATATATATATATATATATATATATATATATATATATATATATATATATATAATAGAGCTATTAAGTATATATTAATGAATATATTTTTTTTCCACACTGGTAGTTTCATGCTCAACGCAGTCTTCAGATGCTGAATATAGACTGATCATTACATAATAAATATATACATTTATTATTAAAATTTTACAAAAACAAACTTAATCATACATAATAACTCTTAACTGTCAGCCAGTGTTTTGGAAAAGATCAACATTATATATCAGTTTAAATGTCCTTTGGGAGATTGTATCTCTGACAAAAAATAAGTACATATATTAGTTTGACAACCATAACATTCTCAAGACATCTTACACTTCATTTGTTGGATAGAAGTTCTATTGCACAACATTTAAAAACACATTACTGTCCATCTTCACATTACAGGAAAATACTTGTTCAAAACACCAATATATTACACCATGAAAATAAACAAAAACTTCAAATTCTTGAGTCACTCTTTATCAAAAGCAACCAACCAATACTGAACAAAATTTATTGAGTGTAACAATCATGTGCTGAAGTGCATTTAATGCCATTTGCATTTCTTTTTATATATTTCTGGTTAACTCCTTTACATTGGGATGCATGCTTTTCAAAAAATTACATAGCTACAATGGATAAATTTAAATTTTAAAATAATTATAAGAGAGTGCATTCATGTGTGTTTCTAAAAATCACGATCACAATGATCACAGTTACAATAAGTTTGTCTTTGTAATTCAGCCCTGAGAATAATCTAGGAGGAGATTGAAAGTACTTGGGTAAGAAAAAACTATGGAACCTACCTTGATGAATTTCATCTTAATATCAAGAAACTGATCAGAGAAACTAGAAAAGATTATTATTATAAAAATAAATAGACATTTATTATATTATATATATATATATATATATATATATATATATATATATATATATATGTGAATAAAGACAAAAGAAAACTTATCTTAGCCAACATGTTTCATCTTGAGGGATTTAATCAAGGCAAATGCTAGGTTTTACTTTTTACAAGTACTTATATACAAAAGAAAAAAATGTTATTGATTTTTAAAACCTTTTTAAGAACACTCATATGGTTTATATGTAGATTCAATAGCCAACATTTTTATTTATAATTATTATTATTCATCAGGTTAGCAAAAAAGATAGGCAAGCTATAGAGGATACAAAGTGACACATTTCAATGTCTAATAAATGAAAGCGAGTATCTATTGTTGTTAGTAAATTTCTTTTTAATGCAAAAAAATAAAGTAATTTGCATTTCATCCCATTTAAGGAATGCTTGCAAAAGACTTGCCTCTCCCCTTTTATCAGCAGAAGTTCACAAATGCATGCTGGGATATTTTTGTTAGCCAATAAAATAGGCTGGTTTAAAGTTTGACATGACTGTCCAGATCTGCCTTGTCTAGAAGACAGACAACTGCGTTCATTTGTCCGACCTTGTATTTGTGTATCAACGCCAATTTCTGTTAATTTGCTGTGCATATATTGTTTGCTTGCTTGCTTGATATTGTTTCATTTTTGTCCTGTTCTTTTCTTTTCTTTTTATTGCAAACTTTATTAATTCTGTTTGTTGGACAGTTCTGTTATTTATTTTGCATTTGACCATGGCTACTAACTCAACAAAAATTATATATTACCTCTTAACATCATGAATATGAAGGAACCAGAAATTAGGGATAAACTTCTACTTCTGTTCAAAAGATTGGAGAAAGAGTGTAAATTGGACAATAGGTAAACCTATCTACTCCTATTGAGGAAAAATAAATATGAAATAAAATTTCAGAGTTTAAGTAAGAACTGGAACCCCAATGCTAAACATCGACAAAGAGGATGAAAAAGAGACTTTGTTTTGTTTTTTTTTATAAGCTTTGGTTTTAAGATATACACATACCAGTTCAAATTGCAGAGTACTTAATTTTCCAAGCATACATATATATATAGATATATATATAAAAGGCAGGATGTGTGTGTGTGTGTGTAACGAATGCACGGCCGCAATTTTTGACGGATTTACACCAAAATTTACATGCACATGCTCCAAGTTAGCAGGAAGGCCAAGACCAACTTTGCATTTCCCAACTCCCATCAATAATGGAAATAATCGATTTTTTCATGCTTCTACAGCAGTTTTCATGTAGTTTGCATCCATTTTCTACTGGCAAGAGTGAGAGCCTATAGCTGGCTGCCACGAATACGCAGGAAGATTCCATTGGCCAGCGTGAGAGCCAACAGCTGACTGACACAAATGTTAACTAGCATGCAAAAAAAAATCCATAGCTGCATTTGTCACAAGTGGGAAAAATTTAAATCTGCATGGCACTTTACTCCAATTGGCTCATTCGCTTGCTTGTTGATTCTGATTCCGCAGAACTGGGTTGGGTGTGAAAAAGTATTTGTTGTTAACATTCATTTTTCATTTGGTTTAGTACAGAGCTTAGAAAAAATTTGCAGTGTGAGATAGGAAAGAAGTAAGGCATGTAGCAACATCAGCATGGCAAAGGCAAGGAAGGGCAAAAATATTTTAAGTCAAGTGATAGCAATTGGTGTATGAGTCGTATGATTTTTTAACATGGGCAACGCTGGGCCATGCTGTGTATATATATATATATATATATATATATATATATATATATATATATATATATATCATTTCATTAAAAATGACAAATATGGTTAAGCTTTTTATTTAATTTTTCTTGTGTTCGAACAAGAGCTTTCTTTTCTGGACAAAGAGTAAAACTGTCCAAGTGTTTTATAGTTCCGAGTGCTTTAAGCTATACCTTTAGCCATTATCAAGGATGATTCGATCTTCATCTTAATTGTGTGCATTATGTGTATCTCTTAGTGTGTTGTAGGGATGATTTAATTTCTGAATACAGTTAGCACATTGTGGCCTTGTTTGTAGTTAATATTGTTAAGAGTTGGCTTTTTCTTTTTTATTATTAAAGCTTCCATTATTTATAATCTTTTTTTACAGATGGATGCAGTTATTATATTTGTGTTTTCTACTTATATATATATATATATATATATATATATATATATATATATAGTTCGGAAATATGCTTTATATGTAGATTCAATAACTAAAATTTTTATTTATCATTACTATTATTATCATCTATATATTTATCAAATATCTATATAAATATTAGCACTTGTTTCCCTTTGCACTAATTAAGAAAAAATATTTTGCCTCAACAAATATCCAGATACAACAATGTAGAAAACATGAATGTTTGATTGCACCAAGCAAAATAATACAATGATAAATGATGTTAACAAAAAGACTTGTTCATCTCCAAAGGGCACAAAACAAGGTCTGCCATTGAAGTAAATAGAGAATTTAACAAATTCAACTATTCCAACAGTTGTTCAGACTATTAACTCATTCTTTATGTGACTTTGGTTGTTAGAACAATATTTTGGCCAATCTATTCTCAATCTTCTTCAAGTGTACTCTATAAGGAAAGAGGTTTCTTTTTCTGAAAAGAAAAAGAAATTTCTTTTTGGACCAAAGAAAAAAAAAAAAAAAGACTTCTTTTATGGATGAGATACTTGAAGCAGAATGTATAATGATTCAACCAAAATGTTTTTGCAACAATAAATGTAGCAGAAAAATGAGTTAAATGGTCAAAAAAGCACTTGGAACAGCAATGACACATATAGTTCTAGGGCTTTTGTGATTAATGTCTTTTCAAACAGTGGCATTTGTTAGGAAGAGCAGGAATTGATGAAATATCCCAAGTAGTTTTCATTACATTTCCTGTAAAAAAGAAATCCTAAATATTAACATGGAGGCAGAAACAGATAAAGATAGACACAAACAGATGAGACAGATGCACAGAAACAGATGAGACAGATGTGCAGACAGAAATAGATGAGATAGATGTGCAGACAGAAAAAGACAAGACAGACATGCAAACAGAAATAGACAGAACAGATGTGCAGACAGGAACAGACAAAACAGATGCACAGACAGAAACAGACAAGACAGACATACAGACAGAAACAGATGATCAGACAGATGTACAGATCGAGACAGATGTGTAAACAGAAACAGACAAGCCAGACATACAGACAGAAACAGACAAGAGAGATGCACAGACAGAAACAGATGATCAGACAGATGTACAGACTGAGAAAGATGTGTAAACAGAAACAGACAAGACAGACGTACAGACAGAAACAGACAAGATAGATGCATAGACAGAAACAGATGATCAGACAGATGTACAGACCAAGACAGATGTGTAAACAGAAACAGATGAGACAGACGTGTAGACAGAAACAGATAAGACAGATGTGTGGACAGAAATAGATGAGACAGATGTGTGGACAGAAACAGATGAAACAGATGCACAGACAGAAACAGATGAGACAGATGCACAGACAGAAGCAGATGAGATAGTAAGATAAGATAAGAATAAGACAAACATTTTAGTTTGAGAAAAAAGAGAATGAGATAAAATAAAAGCAACTGGGATTTGTAAATAAGCAAGAAAAAAGACATCTGTGTTTGATGAATGAGTATTTTAAATATGTTACCTTCAGTGCATTGATATAACACTTATATTTATTTATTTTCCAAAAGGTTTGCAAATGTAATATCTGCACAAACAGGAAATATGGAAATCATTAAATATTTTTCTTTGGCAGAGTAAAGGTTAGTGATCAAAGATAGTTTTGTTGATAGAGTTAATTCTGTTTTGTTTAGGATTCATGTTTTCATGTGACCTTTGCAAAAATACAATGATTCTCTCTTGTTGGAGAAAAGACATCTAATCATATGATATTTGTATAATAAACATATCCGTGGAGACATAAAGTCAGGTCACAACAATTTAGATTATAGCAAGAATAAAAAGCATTGCACAAATATTTTGTATATATTCATATACCAGTTTCATTATATTTATTTATCAATTTCTACATCAATATAGAGATTGTGATTATGGAAATTTTTCTGTTTATAGATGTGTGTATAATGCAGTAGTTAATAGCAAAGAAAGTAAGACTGGAGTTCAAATTCCAGCTGAGGCTATTGCATTCACTTTTTCACAAATACTTTTGGGAAGGTATGACTCCATCTCTTTTTCTCTCAGCTAGATAGACTGGGATGTCTAGCCTTGGTTGGCAACCATACTATAAGAAGGATAACTCTGAATACAGAAAACAGTTTGGTGTGGGTCTATCCCATATTAAAAACTACAAAGCCAGATATATTGATGTTAATCTATGCATGTATATTTTTTTCAGTATCCTCACATTCTGTATGTATATACATATGGATATTTGGCAACCATCTCTCTAATATAAATATGCACATACATAGAAAATATGGGTGCAGAAGAATTCTTATGCATGTTATACATGTGTATGTGTGCACATATATATATATATATATATATATCAAAATGTAAAAGAACAAAAAGAATATAAATTCAAACATTCATAGCATTAATTTAAAAAAGAGCTCAATACAAGAGTAAAGCAATATATATATATATATATATATATATATATCTAATAGGGATACTGAAATGTTTGTTATTCACTTATGTACATATAAAATGTAAACTTCATATATATATATATATATCGAAATGTAGAAGAACGAAAAGAATATAAATTCATAGTATTAATTTAAAAAGGGGCTCAATACAAGAGTAGAGCAATATATATATATATATATATATATATAATAGGGATACTGAAATGGTTGTTATTCACATATCTACATAAAAAATGTAAACTTTATGTATATATATATAGTAAATAAATGTCAAAGCAGAAAACAGTTGTCATTTATTTACTCATTATTTTTTATATATATATATATACAAAAACACCAAATAAAACATACAACCAAGTTTTGAAAAGTAAAGGTTAAGACCTATAAGTGAAAATCAGAAACTACCTGATTATATATGGACATACTTGTTTTTTTATATATATATATATATATATATATATATATATATATAATCAAAGAAGTGTATTATTGGGAGTGACCAAGTGAAAAATAAGAAAAAGTGAAACTTTAAAGTATTGCATTATTTTCTTTCCATAATGAAACAGGGAAACATGAATGAAATGAAAACATGCACACACACACAAACAAAAATGGGGAAATAAATTTCTATATATGACCCCAAAAAATAGATCAAAACAAAGAGTGAATAGAAAAAAGAGAAAAACATGTTTAAAAAAAAAAGCTCTCCAAATTGAAAGCTTTCCTTCGATATTGGCAGCAGCATTGTGTATTTGTTAATCTTCCCTGTTGCTCCAATCCTTGCTGATCCTTTCTGACTGGCTTTAAGTTCATAACTTTTCAATTACCAAGCATTCCTGCATACAGTCATCTTCAAATCAATATTCCTGTGTGTAGCTATATGGTTAGAAAATCAAACAAATGCTCAAAAGGTTTTAAAATCATTAAATACACTGGATTGCAATATTTTGGGATAACTTATCACTACAATGTCTGCAAAACATTCAAAATATGATTCATTAAATCTATTATTCCATTATAGATTTTTTTTTCATGCTTTCTGTGTTCTTTTGCGACTACTGGAGGTTCATTTGATAAAAGTATTTCTGGTCTAAATATTTTAAAATGGATTTAAAACCATGAAATAGGTCAAAAGAAAAATCCACAATGGTAAAGAAAAACCTGGATGAGTACAACCAGTCGTCTCACCAGCAAGTGAAATAGGCTTCAGGCTTTCCACTCAGGATTGTCCCACATGACAATATACTAGTGGATTAAAGCAATGGTTCCAGGAATTTGATGAAACAGCAATTCTGAGTTCAATCCCTGGTCTTGGAATAAGTGAAAACTGGGTGAGTAATAACTGAGCAGTACAAAACTAGACAAGATATTCCTACATATAATCAGCAGAACAACAGAAATATTAAATGAAGGGTTCAGTTTAAAATCTAGATCACAGATGGAGGCTGGAGGGCACAACAGCTAAAATTTTGTGATAATAACAACAAAGATGAGGACATTAGTTTGTATATAAATAATGTAAATAAAAAAAAAAGTAAAGCTGGTGATTATTATTATTGAGTAAAACAAGGGTACAATAATACAAATACCAATATATCCATTATGATACCCAGACTGATAAGAGAATACCAAGCAAATTTGGCTGTGATGCATGTGCTTGGTATACCTTTATCAAACTCAGTGTCATGATAAGTAAATGAAGCTTTATATATTTGTACACCAGAATCACTTTGTTGGTGTGCAGCTCTTTCAATTATGATAATAGTAGCTTTATTCTCATGTCTGATTTAATATTATATTATTATCATTACTATTATCATTAACATTACTATTATTATCATGATTATAGTCCTATAAAACCAGTTCTGTGAAATTCAGCATCTCAACCATGGTAAATAAGTGGCGACATTAACACAATGTTTGTTATAAACAATCCACTTTTCATTGCTTACAATCATTCTTTTTAAAAATGGGTCCGTTTCCTGCATTTGTGCAGAAAATTGCGGATGGAAATGGGGTCCATTAAATAGTGAGACACTCAAATATCAATGATTCAAGTATTTTAAAATACCTTAATCCCTTAGCATTGAACACACTGTAACCCACCCACAAATATTGGCTCTCAAAGTTTCCCTGCTTATGGTCAAAGTCTTACTGTTTGAATGATTTCCTGCATTACTTGTGATGATGTTGTCACAATTTAGTTTGAACATAAAAGCTATTGTCCCAGTAAATTGTAGATTTTTTTTTTTGTCACATTGTTTCTATTTTTCTGTTCATATACAATTTCATCTCTCAAATGACAAGTTATCTTCATTTCTTGAGAGATGTATACACTGTGGTCAACACAAAACAGTGACAGTGTTTCATGCTTCAATGCAATCTTCAGGCCTGATGATTAACATGTGTATACAAGGCACATTTAATATAAATTTATCTTTTGAAAGAAAAGATGTATGACAAATTGAAGGAAGATTTTGTGACTGGTGTCAATTAAGTCCTAACAGATGAAATGTGTCACAAAAACCTTTTTCCAATTTGTCATACATCTTTTCTTTCAAAACATTTCTTGATATATAAAATTTATATATCATTTTCCTATAAATTTATGTATAAAACTAAGAGAAAATAAAATGCATGCACCAAGTTCAGAAACTAATGTGATAAAAATACTTATTTTACATAAATAATTTTTCCAACATAATCTTCTCTACTGCCAATGCACTTAGTCTTAAATATTAAGCATTTATGTCAAACATTATACAGTAAAAATTCCAGCTAAAAAAATCAGCTAATAATTATGTATCAAGTTATGGACATATTGATACACCTTTGTATACAGACAGAACTGGCATAGCTTGTAATTGTATATGTGTATATATATATATATATATATATATATAGATAGATAGATAGATAGAGAGAGAGAGAAGTAACAAAAAAAAATGAATTGTAGCTGTTCTACCCAGTTTGTCCAAGATCTTCAAACACAACATTGTTTACAAGATTAGATATGTCTCCCCTGACCTACAAGAGATTATTTAAATAACAGACCTCAACTAAATCTGAAAAAATCCCTTTTTTCTATATTTCTTCTCAATTTCAGAGTGTTTCTTGATCTTCAAGATGAAATATTTTGGGGTAGATCAGTGGTAGCAAGACCTCATCATTATATAAATGGTTAGTAAGCTATTCTCACTGGCTATTACTACTATATAGTGAATATAATTGTCACTAACAGTCTCACAATTGTGGCCTTGTGTCAGACTAAGCTAAAGCTAGTAAATATCAATCCATCATTAGTGTTTGCAGTGTAGTTATTTTCTTGGATGTACTTAATATATATATATATATATATATATATATATATATCAGGGATGTGCCTACCCTGAATAAAATAGATCAGCAGCTACATTTTCCTTCTGTGGCACAATATGCACCTAATCCAACAAAATTATGAAGGTTTCTCTGATTATTATGCATAAA